GCCCAGCCCAAAACGCAAAACGCTTCGTTCGCAAAGCAACAGGAGAGCGCCCAAAAAGTTGAACCGCCGCCGCTTGCGTTTTGTGCTGGCGGCTGTACGACCAAGGTACGCGGAGGCGGCTCAGTTGGCCCAACCAACCGACAGTTGCAGTCCTCCTCGTCGCCTCACCATCAAGCTCGTCAACTCTGGTGCCGCCTTCTCACCGTACAACCGCGTTCCATCGGCACAGGACACCTGCACCCGCCGTCGTGCGCACTTCTCGACGCTACGTTCATGTCCCATCGCCGCACCTAGCCTTCTGCTCGCGCTCGCTCCATTCGCAGCGGCTTCCTCTGGCCAACATACCTCGCACCTAGCTTCTCCGCATTCCTTCCGGTCGCGCCACTTTGGAGGGGACGCACCGGCAGCTCGCACCTCCTCCATGCCCTCGGCGGCCGCGCGATCCGGCAACGGATCTCCACCCCACGATGCACTCTCTTCAGCCTCTGACGCTGCACCTATCACCTCCTCCGCAACAGTAGCACCATTACCACCACCGTCTTCGTCACCACCAGTCGTAGCTTCAGCATCCGCATCAACATCAGCATCCCAAGCAGCAGCAGCATCATCATCATCCTCGTCCCCTCTGGCTCGCCAGAGCCCAAAGCCGCGGCCAAGACCACTCAACAACCAACACCATCCGTATCGGATAGAACTGCTCGACCTCACACCCGTATCCGTGTCGCTCCTCTGGTCTACACGCCCGCCACCACTCTCGGCGATCCCGCTCGAGGTCGTCAACTCCCAGCTTCGCAAGCGTGTCCGATCACGCACCCCACACACAAGCGCCGTCCGCAGCTCCTCGCCTCACAGCACATCCGCGCGGGCAACCGCAGTATCCCCCTCTCCCACCTCAGCAACCTCGGCTGCCGTCAACAAGACTAGATCCACCCCGGGTCCCCAACATGCATCCGACGCCAACCCCATCTCCAAGCTCACCGACGGCCTCGTCGCCACACGCAGCTTGAATCGCAAGGTCACCAAGATCCGTCTTCGCGCCCCTCCAACCGTACCTGCGCAGCCCCGCCGGAGCTCACACAGTTCCGCTCCTTCGGACTCGGCACACAACTCGGCCAACGACGACGATGCCTGGCCCTCGGACGATGGCGCCACCGCCGTCGACGACGAAGCAGGCTCCGCATCCGACGCCTCGGATTCCGGCTACGAAGGCGCATCCGACGCACGCCATCACATCGCCAGCGTCTTTAAGGATCGCGTCTCGGTCACCGTCAACGGCCAAGACTGGTCGCATGTCCTCCTCGGCGAGCGCGGCTCCCACGAAGCCATCGTCGTCATCTTCGGCCTCGAGCCAGAGTCGGATTACGACATCCAGTTCTTGGTCAAAGCCGGCCTCGACGGCGCCCACGACGCTTTCCGCGCTTCCTTCCGCACCCGAGCCGATC